TTTAAACAGGGACACAGGAAGTACCTCCCTCTCTCGGGGAAGCTAGGAGCACTGCAGGAGGTAAGATTTTATCTCTGAGCTCTGACCTCTCGGCTTTTCTCTTTTACCTTGGCTCTGTGTTTCTTATTTTAATAATACGATTGGTTACATCAACAAGGGAATCTTGAGTTCAATCCTTAGCAACACCCCTCCCATAACATTCGGAATGTATTTAAATAAATGTTTTCTTCAGCTCATACATTCTCTTATTATTCTATCATTATCTAACATCACTTATCACCAAATACTGAAGTATCTCTTAGAGCAATGGTTTTTAAACTCCTTTTCTGTGCCTTGGCCCTTCCTTCCTCTGGTCTTAGATACCTTTCCTTTGGCAGAAATGCTCATGTACCTATTATTGTCTCCCCTAGTGACCCCACTGATGCAATGTCGAGTGCCCCAGTGAATACACCCCTAAATTCTTTCTAAAATCCCTGCAAAGCACTGTTCAACTTATTCTGATAAATGTCACTAGACTTCCCAGACTCTTGAGCTTTTCCTGCATACTACCCATCTCGGTTTTTTGTTTGTTTGTTTGTTTGGTTGGTGAATGTCAGCTTGAGGTAGCCTAGCCTATAGAGCTGAGCTCAGCCTTTATCTTCATGCTGGAGTGGGGACCCACAGCTATTCTATGACCTCACTTCCAGATCTGTTTTAAAAGCAGATGGCTGTATGGCATCATGCTGGTTCCTTAGGCTCTCTGGCTGCCAGTGCTTGAGGGACTGTCCTTTTACTGAGTCAGCTGGGTGGTTAGTTTTCAGATGGCCTTACTTTTAAGCTAGTTATCAGGAAGGAAAAATCATGCAAACTAACTATGGGTAAATTCTAGAAGTGCCTGATCAGTACAGAAACATAAAGGTCAAACTCCATAGGACTTATCAACAAATAATGGATACTCACCAGTTTTGATACTTGTAGTTTAAAGTGATCAATATTAAAATCCAGTTTACACCCATGATTTTTAACTGAGGAGCAAAATGGGTTGGATTTTGATTTTTATATAAATATTTCAGCATATAGGAGTTGCACTTTTTATGTACTGGTTTGTTTTTGAGACTAAATCTCATTCTTTAACCAGGGCTGGCCTGTAACTTTTATGTAGCTCAGGCTAGCCTCAGATTCACAGCATTCTTTCTGCCCTGGTTTCCTGAATGGTGGTTTTATAGGTATGAGCCACTATGCCTGGCTAGTTAGTATATTATCATATGTGCTTTTAAAAATGAAGAGAAACTTCCGAATATTAAATACTAAAATTGAGAATTTGTTATTATCAATGATTGGTGTTATTGTAGTAGGCAGTTATTTCTCTTAAATACATCTGTATTATACCACATTTGGTGGACATTGATTGGCTCATAATGATGTAATCTAGATGTACTTTAAACCAAATGGTCCTGGTCCAGCAATTCTTCCCCCTTAACCTCTGTACAGAAAGTGGTGCTAAAATCTCCTTGGAAAGGAGAGAATCCTTCACTGTTTTCCCTAGTAAAACTCCAGATCAGGTAATGCTGATTCACAGCTTCACAGAGGATGGCAAATAGAGCAAAAAATAATCTACACATCAACACATAACCGTTTAGACCAGTGTTTTTCAACCTTCCTTATGCTGTAACCCTTTAATACAGTTCCTCATGCTGTGGGGACCCCCAACCATGAAATTATTTTTGTTGCTACGTCATATCTAATTTTGCTACTGTTATGAAAGGTAATGTAAATATTTGATATGCAAGCTATCTGATATGCAATTCCTGTGAAAGGCTCATTCCAACCCCAAGGGGGTGAGACCCACAGTGTGAGAAGCTCTGGTTTAAACTATCACAAGGCCAGCAAAACGAATTAAATGACATTCCTCCCTCTGCATCAGCCCCGCCCAGCTTGGAAGCCCCAAGGCAGGCGATTTAGAGCTTCAGGTCCACCGGACACGCGCCACGGGGGAGGCTCAAGTAGGCTCGTTCTAAAATGCCTTGTCGTCCTCTTTTGAATAATCAAGAGCGATAGGCAGCCACTGTCACCGTGGCTCTGTATCAAACGCTCAGAGTGGCACAGGAGCCATGGACCTGCCTTCAACAGCCACGTTCTCGCCCAGGCTCCGCCCCCAATTGTGGGCCCGCCCCAGGGCGGGGCCAGTTCGGATATTCCCCGCCCCCTCCCCCCACGTAACCCGGATACACACTCTTGCTCCCCTTTCACCTCGCGGTCGGCCGTTGGCCTAGGCGGAAGGGCGCGCGGCCGGCTGCTGCTAGGCAGGCGCTCGGGG